ATCAACGATGGAATTGAACCAAACTTGGCACACAGAACTCCCATTACCAACAGAAAATACTGGAAGGATTTGGTGGACATTGACCTTGAGTTTGGGAGTTGTAGTTCACCTACATCCAGAGAGCACTGTGGACTCAAACAATGATGGATCTGGACCAAACTTGGCACGAATACTCCATATGCCCAAATATAAACACAGATGGAGTTTGGGGAAACTATACATTGACATTTGGGAGTTGTAGTTACAATCAAAGAGCATTCCGAACCCCACCAATGATGGAATCGGGGCCAAACATCCCACGGAGAACCCACATGACCAACATAAAACTCTGTGTTTTCTGGTGGTCTTTGGTCACCATTCTGACACCCCCCTGGTGACCCCCCCCCCCCAGGTTTTGACTTCCCAGGTTGAGAAATGCTGCCTTAAGGACATCCAGTCCAACTCCCTTCACCAGGGCAAGAAAACATAATCAAAACCCTCTTGACAAAGGGCCATCCAGCCATTCACACACACACACATATGTATATGACAATCAAAGATTTGAAAAGAAGGATGATGATATGTTGCATGTTCCAGAGTAGGCAAACCAGACAATCTCCACATCAACACTGACAAAGAAAGAACAAGAAATACTGTTTACCCACAAGCATAAAGACATTACCTATATTAGAAACCAACACTTTCTCATTACTTTATTTTCCAGATCACCAGCCTGGGCCACAGCAACGCATGGCAGGGGGCGGCTAGTATCTTTATAAACAAGCACCTTGGTATCCCTACAGATGTCCCAGTCCTCAAACACTCTCTGCTTCATTTGGAAAAATGCTGCACTCGCAGAGCTCAGGCGGTGTTGTATTTCAGTGTCGATGTTGACTTTGGTGGAGAGGTGGCTGCCAAGGTAGCGGAAATGGTCAACATTTTCTAATGTTAAACCATTAAGCTGTATCTCTGGCATTGGAGAGGGATTGGCTAGTGACTGCTGGAAGTAAGTAAGTAAGTAAGTAAAGGAGAATTAATACAGTTCGACACCACTTTAGGTGCCATGGCTCAATGCTATAAAATCCTGGGGGGTTGTAGTTTTGAAAGGTTTGAAAAATAGAGACAAAGCCTCACCAAATCACAGCTCCCATAATTCCGTAGCATTGAGCTAGAGCAGTAAAAATGGTGTTGAGCTGCATTAATGCCACAATGTAGATGCACCCTTAGACTGTAATAAGGGTGTGATTGTAGTATATTGGGGCAGAAGTGTATACTAGAAAATCGATTCAGCATGCTTGAGTTAGCATCAGCTTTCACTGTAAGACAAAAAGCAAAGTTCTAGCGCTCAAGCTTACAAAATCACCTTGAAAGTGTGGAGTAGTCAGTCAGTAGACCAGTGGTTCTCAACCTTCCTAATGCCGCGACCCCTTAGTATAGGTCCTCATGTTGTGGTGACCCCCAACCATAATGTTATTTTCGTTGCTACTTCATAACTGTAATTTTGCTACTATTATGAATTGTCATGTAAATAACTGATATGCAGGATGTATTTTCAGTTTGGCACAAATACCCGATACATCCAAAATTTGAATACTGGTGGGGTTGGGGGTGATTGATTTTGTCATTTGGTAATGCTGGAGTTGCTGGGATTTATAGTTCACCTAAAATCAAAGAGCCTTCTGAACTCCAACAATGATGGAATTGAATCAAACACGGCACACAGAATTCCCATGACCAAGAGAAAATACTGGGAAGGTTTGGTGGACATTGACCTTGGATTTTTAGAGTTGTAGTTCACCTACATCCAGAGAACACTGTGGACTCAAGTAATGATGGATCTGGATCAAACTTGGCACAAATATTCAATATGCCCAAATGTGAACACTGGTAGAGTTTGGAGAAAATAGACCTTTCCATTTGGGAGTTGTAGTTGTTGGGATTTATAGTTCACCCACTATGAAATAGCATTCTGAACCCCACCAACGATAGAATTGGACCAAACTTTCCACACAGAACCCCCATGACCAACCGAAAATACTATGTTTTCTGATGGTCTTTGACGACCCCTCTTACACCCCCTCGCGACCGCCACAGGGGTCCCGACTCCCAGGTTGAGAAACACTGCAGTAGACAGTCCACGTCTCGCAGGCATATAGCAGGGTTGGGAGGACAATAGCTTTATAGACTCTGGAACGCCCTCCCAAGGGATCTTAGACAGGCCCCTTCATTGGCAATCTTTAGAAAGAATCTGAAAACTTGGCTGTTCCGATGTGCCTTTGCAGATTAGGAATCCCCAATACCAAATCCTAGCAGCACTTTAATAGAACCATGAATTCTGCACACTGCACACTGCACCATTTTATAGTCCTACATACCTCCTGCCACATCAGCACTTTTAATCTTGTACCCAGTGCCCTGGCCTGGCCCAGTTTTATTGTGTCCTGATGTCTTTATGTACCGTTATTGTTATTTGCTTAATCTGTTTTATTTGTTTTATTTGCTTTAGGTATTGTATTGTTGTATTGTGTTTTGAGGCCTTGGCCTATGTAAGCCGCATCGAGTCCTCTGGGAGATGCTAGCGGGGTATTTATTTTATTTATCGTGTCATCAGCAACCATTGTATTACAATTCTAACAGAGCAAAACAAACACAGAGATTAAAAAGAAAAAAAGAAAGAAAGAAAAAAAACCACACAGATTTTGTAAATTTGGTATTTGGTTAAATGTCCTTTGACCAGTATCTGGCCACTTGGAGTGCCTCTGGGGTTGCCGCAAGAAGGTCCTCCATTGTGCATGTGGCAGGGCTCAGGGTGCATTGCAGCAGGTGGTCAGTGGTTTGCTCTTCTCCACTCGCATGTCGAGGATTCCACCCTGTAGCCCCATTTCTTGAGGTTGGCTCTGCATCTCGTGGTGCCAGAGCGCAGTCTGTTCAGCCCCTTCCAAGTCGCCCAGTCTTTTGTGTGCCCAGGGGGGAGTCTCTCATCTGGTATCACCCACGGATTGAGGTGCTGGGTTTGAGCCTGCCACTTTTGGACTCTCGCTTGCTGAGGTGTTCCAGCGAGTGTCTCTGTAGATCTAAGAAAACTATGTCTTGATTTAAGTCATTGACGTGCTGGCTGATACCCAAACAGGGGATGAGCTGGAGATGTCTCTGCCTTGGTCCTTTCACTATTGGCTGCTACTTCCCGGCGGATGTCAGGTGGTGCAATACCGGCTAAGCAGTGTAATTTCTCCAGTGGTGTAGGGCGCAGACACCCCGTGATAATGCGGCATGTCTCATTAAGAGCCACATCCACTGTTTTAGTGTGGTGAGATGTTTTCCACACTGGGCATGCATACTCAGCAGCAGAGTAGCAAAAAAGTGAAGACCTGGCTGTTTGAGCAGGCGTTTGAATAATTAGTGCAATGATTGGTTAATGAACACTGGAATGGAACAATGGATGACGAATCTGGAACATGTTTTAGATGACGAGACAACAGTGAATGGGTATTGTAGTAACTGTTCATTAATTGTGTAATGTGTTAGGTTGTTAACTGTTTCTATACTGTAGCACTGAATTTTTGCTGTTCGTATTTGTTGTGAACCGCTGTGAGTCGCCTTCGGGCTGAGAACAGCGGTATATAAGTAAGGTAAATAAATAAATAAATAATAAAAGGCCATGGGTTTCCTTACGAATGCCTTGAACACTCTCTACTTTATTTGAGAAAATGCTGCACTCGCAGAGTTCAGATGGTGTTGTATTTCAGTGTCAGTGTGGACTTTTATAGAGAGGTGGCTGCTGCCAAGGTAGTGGAAATGGTCAACATTTTCTAATGTTACACCATTAAGCTGCATCTCTGGCATTGGGAGAAAAAGCGGGGAATTAAACCCTACGGAAAAATAAAAAACTACAGAGTTCAAACTTTTCCTGCAGTTCAGATGTTTTATTTTTTTCTTTATATTTAAAGGCTGCCCATAAAATATTTAGGAAAAGGGAGGGAGAACCCACCCTAAAAGACAACAGATCCCAGACTTCACAAGGGAAGTGGATATGAAATTGGGGGGAAGGAAAAAGAGGCGGATTGGCCTGAAACCTGGGCTCCAGATCCAAGGGCTAATTAAAACCTTTTGTTTCTCAAGTCTTTCTCTCTCTTTCTCTCTAAAGCATTCCTTGTCTGTTTAATATTTAACATATGGGGGGAGAGTTTTGTTGGTGAGCCAGTTATATTACAATCAGATATTGTTTAGTTAAGATGCAAAAAAAAAGGGGGGGGGGAGAGAAAGAAGAAAAAAGGCAATTTTCTTCTAAGCTGAAACTTTGAAGGAGGGGAAAAAAAGAGGGGGATTATACTACAAAATGATTTCACAGCACAAAGTTGATCAGTGTCTCTCTCCCTCCCTCCCCTCCTTCCTTTTCTCTCCAAAAAGAGCAATACAAGCCCTTGCTTTGCATTGTATGGGGGAAAGAAAAGGAAGAGAGTTCAAACAGCAATTGATCTTTATCTTCTGGAGGGGAGGGGGGAGGGAAAGGAAAGGGTTAAAGGCAAGGAAGCTGGGAGGCGGGAAAAGGGCTCCTGTCCCTTTAAGGCCGCGAGAGAATGGCGGGGATAAGACGATTGGGGCGGCAGGATCACTTACTTCTGACGTCCCGAAGCCTGGGGGAGTTGGCGAGAGATGGCTTCCCTTTGATAAGGTCCTGGCAACTGAGTAGTACACGCAGGGGGGAGCCAAAAAAAAAAAAAAGGAAAGGAAAGAAAGCAAAACAAAACCCGACAATCATATCATTATATATATATATATTAGATTAATTTTTTAATTTTGAAATTGTAATCGTCGATAAAGAAGAGGAGAGGTCGCTTTCCCTTTAAGAGCCATTGAACGCAATGGATTGGGGAAAGAAAAGAAATGAGTAGGAATGCGGATTTTTGTTTATTGTGTGTCGTGTTTGGGGAGCTTTATTTATATCTAGAGATAGATAGATTTAAAATAGGTTTTGTGTTTGTTTTTTAAAAAAATAAGGAAGGAAAGGTGGCTATCTCCCTGCCAGGACCGTCCCTTCGGTGGTTCACTTTGAAGTGCACAGTTAAATCCACAGCGCAGTGTTTGTGAGGAGAGCCCCGAGGACATTTGGTGCCTGCGAGGAGGGCTTGAAACAGGACCTGGATTGAGAGGAGGAGGAGGAGAAGGAGGGAGAAAAGAAGGAGAAGAAGGGGGGCAGGAGAAAACAGGGGCTGGAAGAGGGAGGGGTTTAGGCTTTTGAAGATTCCCCCCCCCTTTCCCCACCTTCTCTTTCAGCTTGAGTAGTAGCTGGGAAACACAGAGAGAGAGAGAGACTCTGAAGGAACTCTCCTCTGCTTCATCCCCCCCCCCCCTTATTATTGTATTTTTTGGGTTGGGGGCAACCTCCACACTGCAAAAAAAGCTTGGAGAGCAGGATGGAAACTCTGATGTGCCCTGAGAAGGGGGAGGATTGGAAAATGCTCCTTTTCCCTTCCCAATCTGTAGGATTTTAATTGATTTTTGTGTCTGTCTGGGGGAGAAATAAGCCACCACCACCAGCACCCCCCTATGCAAAAGGAAGGAAGCAACTCCTGGGGATGATCAAATGGTAAGTTGTAAAAGAATGTGATTTGCTGTGCTGCTCCCTCCCTCTTCCCCTCTTTCCCTCCCTCCTTCCTTCTCTCTCCTTCTCCTTCCCCCTCCCTTTCTCCCGGATCGCTTTGATGTCCTCTTGGCTGGAGCTTTGAAGTTGTTAAGGAAAGCTATTTATGTGTTAGTTAGGAGCCAGCCCAGCCTGGGAAGGAGAGAGAGAGGCAAGCCGGGGTATGTATGTATGTATTTATGCATGTATATCAGGATGGATGGCCAGGATCACAAAAAAGCAAGGAAATATAGTTGTGTATGTACTATAGATGCAAGTGTGTGTTTGTAGAAGATCATGAAAGCCAAGGAGAGCTCACTTTTCCTTTGGAAGAGAGAGATGAAATGGATTGAACATACTGACTGGCCAGGATCACAAAAAACCAAGTAAATATAGGTGTATATATACATGTGTGTGGTTTTAGAAGATCCTGAAAGCCAAGGAGAGCTCACTTTCCCTTTGGAAGAGAGAGATGAAATGGATTGAACATATTGACTGGCCAGGATCACAAAAAACCAAGTAAATATAGTTGTGTATATACTATAGATGCATGTGTGTGTTTGCAGAAGATCCGCAAAGCTGAGGAGAGCTCACTTTCCCTTTGGAAAAGAGAGATGCAAAGGATTGGGCATACTGATTGACCGGGATCACACAAAAAACAAACAAACAAACAAACAAGTAAATATAGTTGTGTATATACTATAGATGCATGTGTGTGTTTGTAGAAGATCCTGAAAGCCAAGCAGAGCTCACTTTCCCTGGTTCCTTCCTTTGAAAGAGAGAGGTGAAATGGATTGAACATATTGACTGGCCAGGATCACAAAAAACCAAGTAAATATAGGTGTATATATACTATATATACATGTGTATGTTTGTAGAAGATCCTGAAAGCCAAGGATAGGACATGTTGAGTGGCCAGGATCACAAAAAACCAAGTAAATATAGGTGTATATATACATGTGTGTGGTTTTAGAAGATCCTGAAAGCCAAGGAGAGCTCACTTTCCCTGGTTCTTTCCTTTGGAAGAGAGAGATGCAATGGATTGGGCATATTGATTGGCCAGGATCACAAAAAAGCAAGTAAATATAGGTGTATATATACTATATATGCATGTGTGTGTTTGTAGAAGATCCTGAAAGCCAAGGATAGGACATGTTGAGTGGCCAGGATCACAAAAAAGCAAGTAAATATAGGTGTATATATATACTATATATACACATGTGTGTGTGTTTTAGAAGATCCTGAAAGCCAAGGAGAGCTTATTTTCCTTGGTTTTTTCCTTTGGAAGAGAGAGATGCAAAGAGTAGGACATATTGAATGGCCAGCATCACAAAAAATCAAGTAAATATAGGTGTGTGTATATAGTATATGTGTGTGTGTGTTTGTAGAAGATCCTGAAAGCCAGGAGAGCTCACTTTCCTTGGTTTCTTCCATTGGAAGAGAGAGATGCAAAGGATTGGACATGTTGAGTGGCCAGGATCACAAAAAACCAAGTAAATATAGGTGTGTATATATACTATATGTGTGTGTGTGTGTGTTTGTATAGAGATGGAGTAGAAGATCCTAAAAGCAAAGGAGAGCTCACTTTCCTTGGTTTCTACCTTTAGAAGAGAGAGATGCAAAGACTTGGACATATTGAGTGTATATTTATATATATTTTTTCAGATAAGATGCACTGCATGAAATCCCTCCAAGGCAAGCAACCGGTTTTGGAAAGACTTCTCAGCCCTCCCTCCCTCCATTCCTTCTTTCCCCTTTCCTCTCCTCCTTTCCTGAAATCTCTCTCTTCCCCCACTCCGCACGTCCTTCACTCTTTCACTCTGGTCGCCATTTCTGGAAATCTTTTCTCTCTATCTCTGATTTTCTTTTCTTTTTCTTGAGGGCTTGACTTTGGAGGCTGCTTAGCAGGCTGTAGTTGCTGCTGTGATTTCTTCTCTCTCTCTCTCTCTCTCTCTCAAAGCCACCCTTTCCTCCTCTCTCTCTCTCTCACTCATTCAGATCAAGCAGACTTCTGGGAATGTCTGGTGCAGCTCAGGTACATGAGGACAGGGAGCAGCTTTTTTCCCTCCTCTATCATCATCTAATAATTAAAGTGAGCTCCCCCCCCCCCCATGAATCTCAGCTCTTTACAGAAATGACTGTCTCTCTCTCAGTGTTGAAAAGGAGCATGTTATACTTGTATAAGTTCATCTGTCAGGGGTGCTTTGATTGCGGATTTTCCTGCTTCTTGGCAGGGGGTTGGACTGGATGGCCCACGAGGTCTCTTCCAACTCTATGATTCTCCGGATTATATCTGTTTGAGGTGTTGGTGGAGATACCAGAAGCCAGGAAGGGAGTTGCTCAGAGTTTTGAACTCTTCACATGTTTGGGGAGATCATCTTTCATTTTTAATGAATGCAGATCAGCTTCAAAGTGCATGGAGGACTTTGAAGGCCTTTTCCAGGCTGTGTAAGATTGTTTGGGAGTTGTACCAAACTCTCAGAACCTCTTTCCACCTTAAATGGTGGAAAGTGGCTACATTAAAAATATAGTAAACATAGTGGAGAAGGCTTCCAACCTTTTCCTTCCAGTGGGTGGAAATGTGTAGCATTTTATGGGAATATTCTAAGTATTGCATTGAGTTTCTGCCTTCTCTTTGAAGGTGGTCAGCAACAGATCAGATGAGTTGGACCTGGTTCTAAAACAACACTCTGGACCAAGCATGGGCAAACTTCAGCCCCCCAAGTGTTTTGGGCTTGAGTTCCTACAATTCCTTACATTGTGGGAGTTGAAGTCCAAAAGACCTGGACTTCAGTGTTTTGAACTGTTAGGAATTGTGGGAGTTGAAGTCCAAAACATCCGAAGGGCCGAAGTTTGCCCATGTCTGGACTCCCTCTTTCTGTTTGCACTTTTTAAGAAAAGTGTTTCTCATTTTGTAGTTTTAGGGGAGCATCCAGCGTTGGTTGTGCTTAGAAGGGTTTTCTTGTGATCATAATCTAAAAGTTGAGGGAGTTGAAGGGTTTGGTGGAGGGGGAGAGAATGGAAACCAGATGCTGAGGAAAGCACGTTTTGTTCTCTGCCTTGAGTTATCTACCAAAGTGAAGAGGGAAGGGAGGGAGGCAGAGCAAAACTTGGAAGATTTTGGTGCAAAATGGGTTTCACAATGTAGAGATCCAAAATGTATTCCTGGGACTTCTCAGATGTTATCATGAGTAGGAGGGGAAAAGTTCAAGACCGGTGTTCTTTTGCATGTTTTGGGTTTTTTTATGGGCAGTGCAACAATTAAAAGTTCAATTTTCCTGTGTGCTCTTTCCAGACCCTTCCCCCCACGTTTTTTGCTCGCTCCACACCAAAGTTAAAAGTGTGCCCAGAGTTCAGCCTTTCTCTTTGAAAAGCATATCTGATACTTTTGATTAGTGCTGCAGATAGCTGCGGTTGCCTCTTTATTTTAATGCGAAGAGTTGAAAAGCCTGTTTACTTTTTGTCTTTGATGTTGGGCGGATCTGGTTTTGATTAGATCAATACTTCCCCCCCTTTTTTTTCTTAAAGAGAGAAGACTCAGAGGATCCCCTGCTGACTTGAGAAAGAAGAGAGAGACACACAAACACACACACACACAGATTACTGAGGAACTTAAAAAGAAAGGAGGGGGGAGCAAATCCCTGCCAGAAGGAACTCCAGCAGGAACCATGAGCAGTGCAGCCTTGCTGACTCACCTTCCAGACCCCAGTAGCAGCTTCAGAGAAGATGCCCCACGCCCCCCTGTACCAGGGGAAGAAGGAGAGGCACCATGCCACCTGCCTGCCAGTTTGTTTCTTGTGAAAAACCAAAGCTTCAAGGCCATGTCAGTTTCTTCCACACCCAGAAGGAATGAGGATGGTCTGGGGGAGCCAGAAGGCAGTGCGTCTCCGGATTCCCCTCTGGCGCGATGGACCAAATCCTTGCATTCCTTGCTGGGAGACCAAGATGGTGCCTATCTCTTCCGGACCTTCCTGGAAAGGGAGAAATGTGTGGATACTTTAGACTTCTGGTTTGCCTGCAATGGCTTCAGGCAGATGGACCTTAAGGATACCAAAACGTTAAGAGTCGCCAAAGCTATCTACAAAAGGTACATTGAGAACAACAGCATTGTCTCCAAGCAACTCAAGCCTGCCACCAAGACCTACATAAGGGATAGTATTAAGAAGCAGCAGATCGATTCGATCATGTTTGATCAGGCGCAGACTGAGATCCAGACTGTGATGGAGGAGAATGCTTACCGGATGTTTTTAACTTCTGATATATACCTCGAATATGTAAGGAGTGGGGGAGAGAATCCTGCTTACATGAACAGCAATGGACTGGGGAGCTTAAAAGTTGACTGTGGCTACCTCCCTACCTTGAATGAAGAAGAGGAATGGAGCTGTGCTGATTTTAAAAACAAACTTTTGCCATCTGTCCTTGGGTTGTCCAGTAAGACGTTGCGGGCCACAGCCAGTGTCCGAGCTACAGAAACTGTGGAGAATGGGTTCAGGTAAGAAAGATGGTTTTGAATAACTTCTAAAAGTCTTTTGCCCCATGTAAAGTCTTGCAGAGCTCACCCCACAAATGTTGTGTTCTTGTTGTGAGTAGATTTTGGCAAATCTTACTTGTTGTTTTTTAATCACCCTTATATTGGCGCATATTTCTGGCTCCAGGGAAAGGCTGTGCATTTCCCTAATAAAGAAGGCAGTACATTGTGGTTCTTGAGACTTACCAGTTCCTAAAGCTCTCTCAGACATCAAAAAAGTACTTCAAAGCGACTCGTTCTTTGAGACATGCGTTAATTGTTACCACTTTAAACCACATTAAGAGGAACTGGGAAGAGCACCATCTAGGCATGTGAATGAGTAATGAAATACTAGTTTGCCAGCTTCATCCCCAACTAGTGTTGAAATAAGTGGATTACATGCAGAACAGAAATTGGGGAGCAATTATAATGGTAGAACAAAAAAAATCTATATTCTTATTGTGATAACCTATGTGACTAAACATAGTGATTTAGAAGGAAATTGTGTACATGGACTATACATACACAGTTTATTAGCTAGCTAGCTAGGTACCATGTCCTTAAACCAAAGAAATTGTCAGTAGGGAATGATATTATACCTGTGAGGTAGGAGAAGGGGTGTGCCAACTTTATCAGAAACTGTCTTATGTGAAGTCAGATCACTGGTTCATCAAACTGAGTATTAACTGCTCTGATGCGGGTCACCTCTTCAGAATTTCTGGTGTGTATGGATGGATGTGTGGTCTGTCTTTTGCAGACCTAGCTAGAAGTGTGAGGGATTGAACCTGGGACCCCCTTCTGTGTAAAACTGGCGCTCTGACATGAAGCTCTTGCCCTTCTCCATGGATTGAATCTGTACCTTGTCTTTGATAATTTCAGGAAAGTGATGTGTGCCCTTGCTTTGGTTGTTGCCTGCTGAAAGTGGGCAAGAATACTCACAAAAAAGGCAACAGCATCCTATTCATTTCCCCCTCTCTTAATCAGGATGAGTGGCATAATCTTCTGCCACCTTATTCTCTTTCTCCCCCTCCCTTTCCCCTTCATAAATGGAAGTTGGTTGAACAAGAATCTGTGGAGCAGAAGGACCTGCTCTCTCTCACTCTTTCCCTCCCTCTCTCTGTTGTGTATATTCTGTCTTGCTTGGGGAGTTTCTTTCTCAATCTGGTAAGTATTTGACATCTGGTTTACAGGAATTTTTGTGAGTGTTTCTGTGATTCATAGACATCAAAGGACTTCAGGCATCTCTTCTGTTTTCAGCTTGTTTCAACGATGGCCTGCCTCTATGAGGAGGGTTTCTGAATTGCATCTGTTGTGTTTCTTGCTTGTCGCTTCAAAATGCAGCAGTATTTGTGAGTGATAGGACTGGAAAGACAGCTGGTTCTAGTTCAGCTTTCACTTAGACCAGTGCCAATCTGGAAGAGCTCCAAGTTTGTCAGAAGCTTCTTCCAGTTGTTGTTGCCTGTGTAAATGACATTAGTGTACGTTACCTTTGTTTCCTCTGTAGACAGGAAGGGGGTGCTTCCAACCCAAACCCTCCCATTATCGCCACACTATCTTTCTCTGATGAAGGGGGAGTTTCTGTATAATAAAGTCCCAACATGTAGCTTTTCTTACGGTACCTCAAGAGTTGTGACTTAATAGCAGCGGAAAAAGTCAGACATTCATTTGCTGTTATTCACAGCTGAAATGTAGGTCCATATATACACATCACACTTCCTAAGTTGAGATAAAGTTATAGAAGGCATTGGCACTTGCAAGTGTTATTGGCCTGAGAACCTTCTGGCTTTCCAGAAGACCACACAACTAAACCATCGTTTAGTTGGCAATGGGGTCTATTTGCCCAACTCTGTCACTCAAGTACAGGAAGCATGGTGCGCATGAAGAGGTTGGTTTTGTTGTTCTCTTTCTAAAGTTGGAAACTACCTGTGGTATGGAGAACCTGCAGCATATTTAGTGCACACCGTTGTTTGGGGATGTATTGATAACTGTTTTGTTGATCATATGACTTGCACATAAAACAAATATGTGCTTTGCTGTGTGTTCTTCTCCAATGAGGGAAAATGTTTGCCTTGTCTGCTTTGGTTCTCCCATCATCATGCTTCCTGTACTTGAGTGACAGAGTTGGGCAAATAGACCCCATTGCTAACTAAACGGTGGTTTAGTTGTGTGGTCTTCTGGAAAGCCAGAAGGTTCTCAGGCTCAGTTCTTCTGATCTCAGGTGGGAATCATCCCTTTCCAGATGATTATAGGTGTGACCTCAATAAAGATGGTTGAGCACTTTGTCAGTTAGAAGCACTATACCTAGTAGTAATATGTAATCTTCTAGACCGGGAACTCATGGTTATATGCAGCCTAAGGGAACTAGCTGAGAAACCATTTTCTCAACCTATGGGTCACCAGACTCTGAAAGACATACACAGTTCAGTGTATTAGCCTGTATAGAAGGAGTTATTATTAGATGTCTAATCTACCTGTAGCTTGTAGCTGAAGAAGATTGCATAGGAATGCCTTTCTGGTTTTCTGTCTTCATCCCACTTGGAGGTAACAAATATTTTCCTCCTCAAATGTGGAGTATTGTCCTGCATGCCAAGTTTTAGAGGGCTGTGGAGGGTCATAGTTTATATCTGTTTTTCTTCTTTTCTGGTTCAAGGCTTCAGCTGTTAAGTGCAAGGTTAAGAGTAGCAAGCAACCTTCCTTTCCCTTCCCCATTCAGTGTGTGGGTTTGTATATCTTTGAGGAGGGTGAGATGTCCTGAGGCAAGATAGATACTTCAGGCTGAGTTTAGATATCTTCCGCTCTCAAAGGACTACAAGTATGTGTTAATGACTTCTCTGGCATGAAGATCATTAGGTTGTTTCACTTTGGATGAGCTGAGTTTTTAAAAGTAGAATGGAAAAGTTTGTTTACATTGACTCCTGAGTGTATCGGTGCACAGTGTCATGCGGACAGAATGCCCCTCTTAGGGTTCGGTGTTACATCCTAATGGATAGAGCTCTGTGATCAAGCTAGTTGTGAACCAGGCCTTACCACTCAGGAAGCTATGTCTAGCGGGCTGACATGGCTTACAGTCTGAGAGGATTTTGCTGATTGGCACTTATTATTTGTTCATTATTTGGAATCCCTTGAATTTCAATTATCAAAGTGCAATTGTGTCATTACAAGTTGATTATTCCTTATTCGAAATGCTTGGGACCAGGATTGTTTTGTATTTTGTATTTCTTTCAGATTTTTGAAATGCCCTTATTTGCATATACATGTATGAAAGAGATATCCTGGAGATTGGGACCTAAGCTATGTGTGTAAGGTGTTTCATATACACCTCACACACACATAGCTTGAAAGTAGTATTACGCAATACTTTAAATGATTTTGAGCACAAAATATAGGTTGCGTGCACTGAACCATCAGAAAGCCAAGATGTCACAATCTCAGCCATGCCAGTGGACAGTATGGGATTTTGGAGTATTTTGGAACTTTAGATAAGTCAGTCAGTCAGTCAGTCAGTAGCCTTTATTTCGGTCAACAAACCATCGGCTAAGTCAAGTGAAAGTAGAACAATGAAATACAACAGTTAACAATAACATCACATTTGGCTTATAATTAATAAAAACAAGTATCACCATTCGCTATCGGACGAATGACTAACTTTAGATAAGAGATTCTCAGCCTGTGCTAAGAGGCAAGAAGAGCTAATATGCATTCATGCAGTTTCCAACATTGCTTTCTTATGTATGCATACAAGCAGACATTTGTACACTTGAATTGGTTCTCACATCTTTGGAGAACAGTATGAAGCCGGTCAGTATCCTTGACAGTGGGTTACACGGGAGATGTGGCTACAGGTTCAAATGAAGTATCCTGACACAATAAGGAACCAAAGTATTCCACAGGATCCTTGCTATACTCTGAATGAGCATTGTGGTTGGTTTTGCACCTGAAAACTTGTGTCAGCCTTAGAATGCCACCTTGGGTCCTTACCCACCCACTGAGAAATCTCTCCTTTCTTTATGTACATGGTTTGACAGTTGACAAAGTTATTCCTTTTGCTCCCAAATAGACTCCATTATTCTGGTTGAAAGTGAAGGCCTTTGCAGGGATGTGGGAGTTGATGGGTAACCCAAGTGGGAGAGTGAAAGTTGCCTGGAGATCTTTAATTGCTGCTTCTTTTACCCAAGATAAGTTCTTTTTGTTTGCTTTGTGATACAGATCTCTTTCATAACTCAAGTCAGGGAATGACACACCAAATGACACTTATCAATATAAAGATGGGCCACAAGTTCTCCCTTGAAACTGGAGAGCAATTGCTGAAATCATCTCCCAATCCTGAGCCTTTAGCTGGTGCTAATGGTACTTGCTTTTCAGAGTGCCTGCTTGTCTGCACAAATGCATATTGGAGACCACGGCTTTGCCCAGAAATGAAAACTCCTTCAAGGGAACTTGATAGCATCTGGCTACAATTAAGGTTGTAGTGTGGTCAAGATTTCTCTCTCTCTCCTTTTTTTGAAGTAACTATGAAAACATCCCTAATTGGTTTACTTAATGCACATAGGGATTTTCTGTTTTTAAGAGGACAAACTTGGATTTTTTTTCCAAAAAATGAGAAAGAAACCTCTATTATTTCATTATACGATTGTAGGCAAATTTTCCTTTCCACCCACTTAGTTCAAGTTCATTTTTAAAGTTATTTTGCTAGCTAAATGCTCCAGCAATTCCTTGTGTGTTGACTTGCTGTGGCCTAGTTTGAGGCAGTTGTAAATGTATTGAACTTTGATGTGTATGTTTGAAGTTCAGCCTAGCTTCAGGAGATGAACTCTCTATAGCAGGGGTTTACAACTAAGACCCTGTAACTGTTTTGCACTTCAACACTCATAAGTCACAACCAGTATGTCCGATGGTGGTAGAGTGGAGGCTGAATTTCAAAGCATCTTGAAGGCCAAAGGGTGAGAACCAATGATATGAAGTGATTCAGTGCCGCAGAACCAAAC